GCGAAAGATCTTGTCAGTTTGTTAGTGTTTGAGCGCTTAATCGGCTGCTTGCACTGTATGCTTCCCGGGAAGCTGAGAATGTTTCGGAGTGTTCTGTGGTCTGCTGGGGTAATAATATAGTGTAAAGCGCATAGAGCCTGCTGTTGAGCGGGGATATGCGCTATACAAATGCTATCTATTATTATTATTATTATTATTATTATTATTATTATTATTATTATTAGCGTGTGGCCTGGTGTGGTTTGCTCCTATTGTCCTATCAAACATCCATCGTCCTTAACTCTCCTATTTCGCTTTTTTGTGTTTGTTACTTTCCTGTAACATCTCTTATCTTCGGCGCCCTATTTGTTTTACCAGTGCCGTAAAACATCTACCTTGAACTGAAATCCAGCTTATCACAAAACGATTAAAGAAACGTTTCCAAATCTACAAATAACTTACGCCCCGTGTAATAATTAGTCTTGTCTACAACCCTTACGTGATTTAATAAAGTTACTTGGCCTAATGTTGTTTTTATAATGTATTTTTGAGACAACTACAGCACCCTCTTGGACTCCATCTCGAAACTGTCGCGCGTTAGCAACCACCTGCGCAAAAGACTCTTTAAAGTATTGAAAGGATTCCCTCCAAAGACATTTCAAATAGTCAACGTCAGGTTTGGTCCATATAGGATACATACCCACAACATTTACGACAGCTTAACCATAGCAAAGCTATGTCTACAAAGCATCTTAGCTTGACCCAGCCCAAAATTGGGTACCACAAAACAATTTCTATTTACTGTATCAAAACTATTATCAAACTCCCTGTCAGATGTACATGTAGTCTGTCTCACATACCGGATGCATTTACCTTACAACATGTCCATTGAAGCGAAAAATCTTGTCAATTGGTTATTGTTTGAGAGTGTGCAATCCGCAGCTTATATTGCATGAATCCTGGGAAGCCGAGAATGTTTCAGAATGCTTTAAAGTCCGCTGGGATTATTATTATTTATTATTACTACTAGTAGTAGTAGTAGTAGTAGTAGTAGTAGTAGTAGTAGTAGTAGTAGTAGTAATACCTTTATTTTTATTATTATTATTGTTATAATACTACTAATAATAACAATAATAATAATATTATTAATAGTAATAATAATAAAAATAATAATAATAATAATAATAATAATAATAATAATAATGATGATGATGATGATGATGATGATGATGATGATGATGATGATGATGATGATGATGATGATGATGATGATGATGATGATGATGATGATGATGATGATGAGGCCAATTTCCCTGCTTTTATGCAGCACCCATTTTATTTTTCTCTCAGTTGCTCCTGAGGAAGCCCTAGAGACAAAATGTTGAGCTGTGTCTTTTAAACACATTCTAAACATGTTATATTTTTATGCTATTTTGTCTGAAAATCAAACAAGACCCTCCCTCCTACTCTACTTTCCAAACAATGATGATAATGATGATGATGATGATGATGATGATGATGATGATGATGATGATGATGATGATGATGATGATGATGATGATGATGATGATGATGATGATGATGATGATGATGATGATGATGATGATGATGATTATTTTAATTGTCAGTAGTATTATCATTAGTTGTAGTAGTCTATTTTTATCATCATCATTATTATTATTATTATTATTATTATTATTATTATTATTATTATTATTATTATTATTATTATTATTATTACAACAAGCAAAGGGGCAGGGTCTCGAAAGTTATAGACAGGCTTGAAATGTCAGTATGCCCCATTGTCCAACATATTAAAAAAATGAGCCACTTGAAACCACTCAAAAACACTTACATTAACAAGTGGCACTGTACGCACTTCTCAATTATGAAAAATATGAGTCGGTGGAATGGTAAAGCAGCAACCCACATATAAAAAGACAGAAATAACTATGAAAATAGAAGGACCCCCCCGACTCATTACAAAACTTTGGTAAAATAACGACTTGATACAGCTGAAATGACAATGAAAATATTTAGCTTTGATTATTCCTGTAGAAAACAATCGTTGACAACGCCGGCTGT